TATAAAGGCATAAATTGTAAGATAATGGAAAATCTCATTTCAGGGTCATTGTGTTGTAGTGTTTGCTAGAGATGGTACATTCCTTCGTAGAATTGGCTGCGAAAATATTACCAACTATCCTAATGGGATTGACATTAGTGGACACGGAGATGTGCTAATTGGTGACAGCCATGGCAACCGATTTCATGTGGGGGTATTTCAGAGAGATGGCTCTCTTATCAGTGAGTTTCAGTGTCCCTACGTAAAGGTCAGTCGTTGCTGTGGACTAAAAATTACTACAGAAGGATATATTGTCACCTTAGCTAAAAATAACCACCATGTTTTGGTTCTTAACACGCTGTACATACCATAAGATGACATTTTAATGGTTTGGAATTGATTGAGTTGTGAAATCATGTCAAAGTTACTCAGTAGAGATGTTTGGTTTTAAGTGAATTTTTCTTTTAGTTTTTTTTTTTTTTACTTTGACTTCATATGTTTATAATTTTTTTTATATTATGTGGAAAACATTTTATTGATCACATTTTTGGTGATAGAAAATCATTTGCTATTGTTCTCTGCAGACCAGAAGTTTACTACTTTCTTTTTTAAGTATTATGTTTGTTAGTTGCTTTAATTTTTTATATTTGTACAGTCAATGTCAAAAAAAAAAATTAAAAAAAAAAAAAAAATTTACAGAAAAGAAGCACATAATAGAGTAACTATCTGAATTTTATGCATTCTAAATTTCGAGATTAACTACAATAAAAATAGGAATAATTCCTTTCCCTTCAATAAATACTTAGCATTTATTTAAAGGACGTCATGGTCATGGCAGTTTTTTTTTTGCTCCGATAAATAAAACTAAGCTAATGGCAATATGAAAGTTTTATATAAATAAAAATAAATTAATATTTTGTGCTGATTGGTCTTATTTTTTTCTCTTTGCATGTTAAATAACTTTACAGAGCATAAATTTGTCATAATACATGTATATAATTTTGACTTTTTTTTTTCTTTTCATTGTAGAAAGACATAATTGTCTCTTTTGATAGCTTGTAATAATTGAAGTGCTCAAAGAGACTTTTTTATCTTACAATTAATAGATTTTGTTTTGTTGTTTTCCATTTTTTTTTTTTTTTTTTTTTTTTTTTTTTTTTTAGAGTCGTTGTCATCTTTATACAGTATTATTATTGTTATTAAAACCGTAAATCAGCAGATGTGTGGATTCTTTCACTTTTGGCAATTAGCCATATTTAAATAACAGGTGATATTATTCTCCCTTTTTTTTATTTTAGAAATCTATGCATATTTAATTGCGCAAGAGGTTTACACTTTTTTTTCTCTCTATTTTTAATTCAGACATTTACACTAAAAAAAATTAAGTGCTAGGGGACAACATTCCATGTAAAAAAAAAAAAAAAAAACTGTTTTGTCCTTTTTAAAATATATATATATATAAATAAATAAAAAAATTATGTATTACAAAAATTCATTTTCTCAGGAGGCTATTGTTTTCTTTTTTGAAATATTGATTGAATTTATATACAAAATGTATGTTTATCCTGGTTAATTGGAACAATGCTTTTAGGGCCACTAAATTTGGACTTTAAAAAATGTTAGTAAATTTTTCTTTAGAAATGTTTACATTGAAATTGACTCAATATAATCATATCATTCAGCTTTACGCAGACTAACTCAAGGTGCACATATAAGCTATCTTCTAGTGTAGCTCTTTTTTTTTTTTCTTGTGCCAATATATCTTTATATGTAATCTTGTTATATTTTTTCTTAACAAAATTTACAATTAGACCCTCATTGGGGCTTATTTCCTCGAGGGCATAAAGTATAAAGTTTCAGCAGCTTGTCATTTGTAAACTATATAATGTTCTCAGAGGAACAAAAGACATACCACACAGTTTACTTAATCATATTTCTGTTTCCATTGGTCAGATTATTTGACCTTTTGATTAATTTTTTGAAATTATGTAATCTCAAAATTATAACCCATTTACTGATTTTTATTTATTTTTATTTTTTGAAATTTATTATGTGTCTTTATTAAGCGAAAATACCCTCTATTTCCTTCACCAGATATTTTGTCTAGGTTTAAAACTTTATACTTTATAAATTTACAAAAGTTAAATTTTACAATATCTTTAAGGGATGAGTTATCAAATTTGTTGTTTAGGTTGGTCCCAAGTCTATATATTAAATATGCAACATGCATGTGTATTGAATCTAGTCATTTACTCATTGGACATGGCCTTTTTTTTTTTTTTTTTTTTTTTTTTTCTTAAGTTACCTTTTGTGTTGTTTTCCCCCCATTTTTTTTTTTTTTTTTTTTTTGCCGTGCCTTAAAATTTTTATTTTTTGTTTTCGTGTTCAGTGTTAAAAACAAAAAGCTTTACAACAGATATTTATATTATATTAAGATATGTACTTTTAAAATATTTTTCCCTGCTTTTTTTTTTTATAGTTTTATATCATCTTTTTATTATATTTTTAAGCTGATGTGCTTTTAGATCATTTGGAGTGGTGAAATCGCACATAAGTTATGCATTTTTGCAGACAGGGTCTGGAGTGTTAGGGGCAAAAAAGTTGTAATCATTTTTATTTCAATTTTTCTTACCCTCTCCTCCTTTCCACTTGCAATTTATGTGCATGTAAACCTCAGAAAATGACTCCCACCATACTTATACAGACAATAATGCCTATATATTTTATTAACACATTGAATTAATCAAAATTTATTAGCTCTCACCTTCTAATTGTATTTTGGCAGGTGTGAAAAATTTAGATTTTTTTTTTTTTTTTTTTTTTTTTTAAAATACAGTTTTCCATTATACCATATTCATCCTTGTTATAAACTGTTTTAAGCTTCATCATTAAAGTATTCCAGAAATATTATATTTACCCAGTAACTTTGTAGACTCTTTTTTTTTTTTAAAAAAAAAAAACATGAACAGAAAGAAGGGAAGAGGAATGAGGCTTCCTTTTGAGCCCATTTTCTCATTGCCACATTTTTTGGTCTCCCATTGTTTGTTTGCCTTTGTCATTCAGACAATCTAGTTTTATTTTTGAATTTTCTTTCTCTAGAAATCACAACGAGTTTTTTTCATCACATATGTTTAACCATACTATCAATTGTGATTCTGTGTTCATGTTCTCAATTCCATCTTATTTTATAATATATTGTGTCAGATTTTTCAATCATTAATATTTAAGAAAAAAAACAACATGTTTTTGACCCCTAATACTACTGAGATTTTTCTTATTGGGGATATGTGAAAGAATACTAAAAAATGCAAACATATTTATTATATATTTGTATATACCTGAAGATAAAGCTGTTGCATTATTGTGTGTGTTTATCAGTTGAACAGACTTTATGTATTGATTTTATATTTATATATATATATATATATATACATATATATATATATTACTAGACAATTGATTTACATGAACATCTAAGTGAACATTTACTAATTCTAGTCTTCTTAAACAATTAAAGTAAAATCTAAAGTTTAATAACAGAATTATATCCCCTAAATGCCTCTTCCAATATTTTTAAGTTAGGGCCCCCCCCCCCCCTTTTTTTTTTATAAAAATTATATATATATATATATATACCAGGCAAATTATCCAGATTTTTTTTCTTCATTCACATATGGTGCTGTATTTTTCTTTCCATTTATTGATTACAAAACTATGGCTTGACTGTTTATCTTAGAACAAAAGTATTTTGGGGTGCAATCTAATCAAGTAAAAACTAAATAATTACAAGACGTTAAATTCTGATAAATTAAAGAAATAGGGAAAAATCAAATTAGATTGTATCCCATGTAGATATTTGTTTGTATATATGATTTTTTTTAACAAAACAATTTTATTGCTATAAAATTGTTAGGTAATTGGTGGGTTGTTTCAAGAAAATGTTGCCCACATTTTTTTCTTTGTTGACTCCTATTTTTTCCAGTAATAGTTTTTTTTTTTGGTTTGTTTAAAATAATTTTTTTGGCCATTTGATTGATTTTGTGTTGTCTATTTTCCATTAATCCATTTTCCATATTTTGTAAATATTTTTCAGCCGCAATTGTCCCAGTTTGGACATTTCTTTTTAAATTCTGGTATTGTTTTTGTTTTTTTCATTTGATTTCAAGCAGTAACTGACATTATCTAGTGTTGTCTTATTAAAAGCTGACAATGGCACTATTGTATGTCCATCTCATCTCAGTTACAGTTGTATTTTTGAAGTGATCTTACATTAATGTATTCAGTATCATTCTGTCAGCCAATTCACTTATATCAAATAATGTTAACTTAGGTTTTATTATGTCTTACATATAGTTAGTTCACTTGATGTTTTGATTTTTAAACTTGAATAGATTTGATTGTTAATGACACTAAACCATGGTGCATTTTGTGTTGGTAATTTATTCAAATATTTTTTATCAGTTTGTCCCCATTCCTTTTCATTTAAGAAACAAAAAAAACAAAAAAAAAAACATTATTTTAAAAATTAAACCAATATTTACATATTCATTTTTTTTTCACTAATTATTGGAATCTGTGCTTGAAGGTCTTTTTAAATTCACTCACAGATGTACCAATAGGGTTTTTCCCCCTCCTCGTCCTGTCTCATGCAGTGTATTATGCAATGTAAGGCTTTCTACGAAAATGCTACTTTTGTGACATTGTCTGGCACTGCTTTTTTGTTTTTAAGTCAATTCTTTTTTTTTTAATTCCATTAAATGTCGGTTATTTTAAGTACAACAAAAAAAAAATTCTTACCTATAGAAAAAGATTGAATCCAATACACATGACAATCAATAGCTCCATTTACAAAACCCTGAATGGCTAATATTGTTCTAGAGAGTTGAGCTTTTTTTTTTTTTTTTTTTTTTTTTTTTTAGGACTTTTTGTTTGTGTTTGTGCAATGTTGCAATAAAAATCTTTAAAGATAAAAAGTCAAATAGTAAGAATTATTTTAAAGATGCTTTTAATAATGTGGTTCCCCCCCCCCCCCCCTTTTTTTTTTTTAAAAACACCCTTTCAAAAGACTTGTTTGGATCTCAGTTACAACATTGTTATATACACTTTTTTTTATATATTTTTAAGGACTTTTTTTTTTTTTACATGTATGCATTTTAACTGAATGGCTTGTGTGATATTTTTTAATCAAGAACTAATGCATTTGTCATACTGCTGCTTCTATCTCTTAAAAAGAAGTGTCCCCAAAACATGTTCTCTCCTTCTAAGAAAGTATTTTGTGCTGGGGGGAAAATACAAAGACATTTTTTTTAAAGTCAACCACAATCATGTAAGCATTACTCCTTTTTATTGACAGGTCAAACTTGATGAAGCAATATTTATCTTCATATTTACATTTTTTGCTCAAGCTTTTTTTTTTCTTTCTTTTTTTTTTGTACAGTTTTTGTACTTGTATGTAACACTTGTAGAAAAAATCCTTTCATAACTATTATCCAAGCTAAATGATCAATATTTGAGTTCAATTAATCAGCTCACTATATTACTATTACAGGAACAATAAAGGCGCTCCTTATTTGGTGATGGGTAGTTGTTTTATAGGTTTTTTTTGTTTGTTTTTTTTTGCGTGGTGCCATTTAATGTTGAGGCAGCTTGAGATGAAAATTGTCAGCCTAATACATCTGACTTGAGATTCTAGTTGTTGCTGACAGTTTTGATCTTGACAGGCTCCATGTAGCTGTGTTTTCATCTTAAACACAAGCATTACTCTTCCAATAATGGCTGTATTGAGGCAGGTATGAGGGGCACTATACACAAGTATTGATATATATATATATATATATTCTATTCCTATTTTTGGAAATACATCTGCCATTTCTTAAAATGTACGTTTATGTTAAGATGTATGCAAAAAATGGAATAAAGGTGTTCTTTCAGTCCAATTATTGAGTTGACATTTGTGTTCTTGTGGTAGAATTATTCTAAGATTTTTAGCTGCCCCGCGAGTGGGGAATAGCTGCGATTAGTTTTGTGTGGTCTGTCTGTTCGTTCGTCCGTCCCGTTTAGATCTCGTAAACTAGAAAAAATAGTGAAAATCTGACATATTTTAAACCTAATGCAACAGCACCTTTTTTCTGAAAGCGAAAAAATTTTTTAAATCAATATGCAAGCAGTTTTACAACTATTCACTATTAATAGTAAGAAACGGGAGAGACATTATGCAACGGTTTGAGCTATTTTGCCTTTATTTTTTAAATCAAAATAGTATTACTAAAGTAATTTCTGTCATACTATGTCAATTTACAAAAAAAAAAAATAATAATAATTAATAAAATGTATACCTTTTTTTTTTTAAAGAGAAAAAGTCTCTTCAATATGCATATGAGGAATATAATTTAAAACAATTGATAATAAGTGTTTCATGTTATACATGCGAACTTGATGGCCCTACATAGCAACACATACTCGACCTGAGGCTTTAAATAGAGAGCACGGTAATTTACGAAACAATTAGATCAATTAGAAAATCATTCAGTAACATCAGTCAAGCCAGGTTCTTTAGTCTGCTGGACCATTGGGGCACCACACAAGATCTGTCTACCGTCTTTTTCCATTCCGCTGTCCTTTGCCTTTGATAAATTTCATTCACTGACAGGCCCGTCCATTCTTTAATGCTGTCTTCCCATCGCTTTGCCTGTCTCCTCTCCATCTTCTTCCTGGTACTGTTTCCTAAAGAAAGACCTTTGCGAGCCCCTTGTGATGTGCCATAGAGTTTGTGTTTACGTTTTTTTGACAATGGTTAGCAGGTCATCGTGGGGTCCAATCGCTGTGTTAATCCTGTTTATAATCTCTTCAATCGTGATGCGGTCTTTGTGACACCTAGATTTAACTATTTTTTTATAACTATCAGCTCATCAAATACATATGAATATTAACAATGTAATAGTAATATAATTAAATCGTATCCTGAGGTATCAAGTCGAGCTAACAATACAACAGCACGTCTCTTCTATTTGTATCCACGGAGCTAGGGTTGGAGTTGAAAGTTTGGATATTCTTTCTGAAAATATTGAACCATGCCTTTTTATATGCCTGAGCGGACCACTTCGGGGCCGATTTCGAGTTTGTGTTTCCCCACAGAATGTCTTTGTAACCTTGTTTTATTCAAGTTTGGTGAAGAAATGTTATGGACAACATATTCCACGGCCTATTCATACACATGCACTAGAATCCGTATTTCGCCAATAATTGAGTAAACAGAATTACAAATATTTTATTTAATTGGTCCAATCGCTTTGTACTTACAACTGAAATTCTTTCTCCCTCCAGTGACACGGATGTCACTTAATTCAATCAAACGTTTACATTTTTTTTTAATTGATTGTATCAGTAGTAGGCCAAGTAATACACAATTTTTCAATGTTGGGAACTACTGCACATCAACAAAAGGTTATAATTTCCTGGAACTCGTGTATTATGCCGATTGGTATGTTCTTGTTATCACTGTTCTGAACATAATAAAACAGTCGAAAACCATGTCCGTATATGGTTAATACACAGAATGACTACACAACACACTATCTTTAACCTTTTGTGAAAACATTCTCGCGGACGAGTTACAAAGAATATAAGAATGACAACTGATACATTTGACTAGAGTAACACCTTAAGTAAAATCACTAAATTTAGAAAGCCTTCAGGATAGAAGACTTAAAAGTAAAGTAGCAATTATATATAAAACACTGAACCATAATCTTCAAATACAAAAACAAAATTTAATAAAATACTCAGAAAGACAAAGATAAAGGCACATTCCTCGTTCCATATGCTAGGATAAATTTGTACAAATGCTTTCTTCCCTAGCGCTATTAGAGCATGGAATGGGTTGCCTGAGCTAGCCAGGAAAACCAGTGTCGTTGCAGAATTTAGGTCATCGGTTAATATGCATAACGCGTAGGACGTAATCAACATCTTTTTTAAAGTAAGTCTGTATTATATAAGATAAGAAAATGCGTATTTTCCAGGTATTCACCCCCCCCCCCCGTTCCAACTGTGCCTAGGTAGACCTACTAGTATTATTTACAATGCAAGAAATAAGTAAACGCAGAACGATAATCTAGATTCAAATAAATAAACATAGTAAAATAACATATTGAAGCGATGAAATAGCGTGTACAAGTCGTGACAAAGTCAAATAAAGCTAGTAAATGACGTGAAATTAGATCAAATAGCTAGTAAGCTGTGAAGTATCAGAACTTAAGTCAAATATTTGTCATTTTGAAGACCAGTATTGACAAAATTGAATGTCAAAGTCAGCCGATGAACGTTACTATTTATAATTGGGCCTAGCTCTCTTTTGTATCTGTGTAGTTTCATCTGCATGAGTTGTTGACTACGTCTTCGGTGGTGCTGGTGGTTTCTTCAGTCATAAAATCAGTAGATTGATTCCTGGGAATGAGGAACTGTGGCAAAAAATAAACCAGCAGCCCATTAAAGTAGATCGAAGGGAATGTGTATTGTAGTCTTGTTTATATTGTTCAAGATCTTATTATTTGGCTCGTGTTGCTACAGTTACTTACACTGGAATTGAGAGCTCTATATATTGTTAATAAAAGTTATTATTTTTTAATAAAAGTTTTTTTTCCAAGTTTTATTTAAGTTACATATTTAGAATATAACACGAATACCGGGTACGCCTACAACGATTTATATGGACTGGAAATACAACCCCACAATTAACCTGTACAGGGCCGGCCTTCGATTGGTGGGGGCTTCGCACAAAAAAAATGCGAAGCATGGATCAAATCTCAAACAAACAGAACTCTATTGCTCTATGCCTACTAGCCTAGCTCTACTACAATTCAAGGTTTATTCACAAATATTTAGATTTAGATCTACTTGTAAGACTACATATGTTAGAAGACCATTGTTGCTTCCTTTTGGTGAAATGTCAAAACGTCATTTATAGAATTCTAGTCTGGTGATCATGCATCATCCATGAAGTTATTCATGGTAAACCAGTACCGGTAACTCAGACTAAAAACGCAAAATACCTAGGTGTTATAATAAATGAAAAACTGTCATGGAATCCCCAAATTGATGAAACTATCAAAAAAATCGAAGCATCAGGGTTTATTAAAAGAAATTTCTATAAATCAAATAAGAACATATAACTAAAATGTTTTTTAAACTTATTTAGGCCAATAATAGAATATGCATCCTCTGTTTGGGACCCCTCAACTCAAGAAAACATTAAGAAACTGGAACAGACACAAAATAGAACAGTGATATTCATAACAAACGAATATCTTATCTTATATAATACAGACGTTACTTCAAAAAAGAAGATGATTACGTCCTACGCGTCATGCATTTAGTCATGCATATTAACCAATGACTTAAATTCTGCCAAGTCACTGGTTTTCCTGGCTAGAATATTCACATTTGACTAGAGTAACAACTTTAGTAAAATCACTAAATTTAGAAAGCCTTCAGAATAGAAGACTTAAAAGTAAGGTAGCAATTATGCATGAAACCATAATCTTCAAATACAAAAACAAAATCTAATAAAATACTAAAAGACACAAAGATAAAAGCAAATTCCTCATTCCATATGCTAGGACAAATTTGTACAAATGCTCTTTCTTCCCTAGCGCTATTAGAGCATGGAACGGGTTGCCTGAGCTAGCCAGGAAAACCAGTGACTTGGCAAAATTTAGGCGACAAAAATTCATGTTTACTTGCTACATCATGAAATTGCTCATATCGGGTGATTTCTCGAATTATCCCATCCAAGGAAGAATAAATTTCCATCCGTAGCTCTTTCTTGCGTGTTACTACAGAATCTTCACCTCTTTGGCCTGTCATCCTTTTTCTTGTGGTCGATACATCTGACAATCTCCAGATCTGTGCACATGCTTTCGAATAAAGGTAACACTGTCTTCAGCAATCTCTTCCCGACTATTAGTAAAGAATGTTTATATTTTTTTCCGTTTTCCGTGCATAGTCTCGAATCAACAATCCATGTTTTTGAAGGTAGACTTGCGTGTCCATTATTTTAGTTAATACATCGACCAATACCACAAGGCGAGAAAATAAATGTAGGCTGCATAGTAACTAACAAGCCCCCTGCTTCAGATATAGAAGAAGATTTTTCATCTGTGCTAGTCATGTCTCTAGAGTTTCTATAATTTTTGAAAATTAAACCATAAACATCTTGACGGCTTCTCCCCTGGCGCTCCAGTGGGTTTTAACCAAGCGCTTAAGGTTAGCTCCTGTTATTTTGGTGAGGACGTCCTAGCGGTGTTCTGAAGTTGAAAAAAAGGTTTGTAAACGGTCCAGTGTAGGTAAAAATGGTACTGAATTAATTTCAAGTTCAGTAATCTGAATACTTGATAAAACTCGGAGAATGGTTCAAGCAGACAAGGAATTAAGATGATGTCAGGGAAAGAATTAGTACACCGTCATTATCCAAGACAACGTAGCCTTAACATTTGGGAAATTATCTAGAAATATCTGGCTCGTAGTCACCAATAATTACAATAAGTTCGTTTAGTATTTGTGGGGAAATTTACACATTCGGTCTGATTGATTCGGACTACATGTGGATCTTACTTGGATAGTATTTTCTCAAGCTCCCGGAAATTACCTGGATTTCGTCTTTGCAACTATTCTTCAACTTGTTTGCGATGCCCATTGAGTGACAGATTTTGTTTTGAGAGAAAAGGAATGATATCTAAGATTTTTTTCAAGTAGCACTAACAGATTTTTTCCCATTGGACCGTCAACAATTTTCAACCCGAGATGACAATCTCTCCTTCTGAGCTAGCACTATGCACACCATCAGGACTTTTCAGCCTGGGTCAACCCAGGCAGGTAAAAAGGCAGGTTTCAATATTTTCAGAAAGAACATCAGAATGAAGTTCTATCAAAGACAAATGACA